TGGAAGAAAGAGGTGTTGGGCTTAGTGTAGAAACAGTAAGGCGACGTCTTCGTAAGTCTGGAGGAAAGTTTAGTAATGAAATTTCTAAACCTTTACTTAAAGAAGACCATCGAAAGAAAAGGTTGCAATGGGCAAAAAAACATAAGTATTTTGATTGAAATCGAGTTGTTTTTACAGATAAGAGTACATTTCAATTATATATATCAAAAAAAAGGTTTGGCAATTTCCTGAGAGAAAAAAAGTGTTTTGTTCTGTTAAGCATCCACCAAAAGTTCATGTTTAGGAATATTTTTCTGCTTCTAGATTTGGTAAGCTATTTTGCTTTCAGAGGAACCTTAATGCTGAATTTATGTGTACTATTTATGAGCAGAGTCTTCTGGCTTCCACCTCTAAACTTTTTGGTGAAGGTAACATAAATTGGATCTTATAAGAAGATAATGATCTAAAGTATCGATCGAAAATCGCGAAAAAATAAAAGGAAGAAAATGGTATTGAGGTACTTTCTTGGCCATTAATGTCTCTAGACCAAATCCCTATAGAAAACGTTTGGAGGTTAATGAAAATTAATATACGAAAAAAAAATCAATCAATTAGAGGGTTAAAGGGAAACTTATAAAAGAATAGAACCGATTATCACCTGTATTTATCACGAATTTGGTAGCTAGCATAAAAAGGTGTACAGCTGCACTTATAGAGTCAGATGGTAACTACACAATGTATTAATTTTAGTTAGTTAGTTATATATTTTTTAAATAAAAAAAATTTTGAATTTACTTACTTGTAACCAGAGTTAGAGGCAGTCAGATACTTATGACCGCTACTGTATATTGATCCTCCTATACTAGGCTTGCATTATGTCACAAACGCCCTCGCATATCATATTTTTGTTGTAATTCTCTCCCATGCCTTTGGTACCTCTGAAGTTTAAAATTGAATACAAATTTGTCAAGAAATAGAATATTGATATGTGTTTGCATTTCATTTTCTATTTTTTGCGCAATTTCCCTCCAGTGATAACATTCTCCTTGTTCATTATTAAGATCTTAAGTAAGTTGGTTAACATGGTTTTGTAAGGTATCATGTTTTTGTGTAAGCTGATAATTACGATTTTGTAAAGTAATTCCATCTTGAGTGAACTGGTTAATATGATTTTGTTGAAGTGTATCTAGCTGTCTAAAATAATTGACATCCTGTTATAGCTGGACTATCTGATTATCTCTATCATCTCGTTAAGAGATAACACCATCTATATTCTGGTATGCAGACTGATAATTATACTGAACAGTATTTAAGGAATCTCTAATGCCTTCTATAATATTGATAGGATTATTTAATGGAGTACTACCACCTTGGATGTGATTTTTAATGCGATTTAAGCCTCGTTCAATTTGTATAAAAAGGTTAAGTTTCGCCATATCTATATCTTCCTCTTCTAAATTGAAGAGCTTCTTCGAGAAGAAATAACTTTGAATTTATGCCTTAGATTTTAAATTCGCTCTTCTGATTCTTGTAATTGTTTTTCTATATTATCGATATAGAATACCTTATCTCTGATTTCTTTTTTAGCTCGATATAAGCTTTTTTAAGGGATGATATTTCCAATCTCAAATCATTCTTTTCTTCCTCTAAAGTATTCTCAAGCTGTTTTAGTTCTTTATTGAGGGATTGGATTTCTTTCTCACATCTGGTATATTTATGTTTCAGATCCTTTATATATTTCTCATTCAAGATGGCTACCTCTGATTGTAATATCTCCTGGAGTTCTTGGTTAATTTGTTCTAGCTCAAATTCTTTATCTGTAGCTGATCTATAAGTTGTTCGATTGGAGGTCGGGGTCTATAAAATGCCATAGTTATTATGAAGTAATGAGACTCTGTCTCTATTTTTTACAATATATTATATTATCTTATCTCTTGACTTTGCTATAATAAGTAATATCAAAATGAGTAAATTGAGCACACCTATTATTAGAATCGATCCAGATGAGGAATTAAACTTAATCTGTAAATTGCTTTTTTACCAACCTACTGGTTATCATTCTAACCCTCGAAAATTGTATAATGCTATTAAAGATAAAGGATATAATTTTTCATATAAAAAAGTTCGTGAATGGTTGCATAACCAGAATGAATAGCAAAAATATGCTCTATTACCAAAAGATACTCCACAGGTTAGTTATGGTAAAATTTAAAAACCAAATTGTGTACATCAGTGTGATCTCTTATTCCTTACACATGATTACTATAAAGGTAAAAAATAGAAAGCAGTATTACAAATTATAGATGTGAGTAGCAGGTTTAAGGCAAATGTTTCTCTAACATCGAAGAATAGTTCTGAAGTTGCTAAAGCATTTAAGAAAATTTATGATAATCCCAATAATCCTCTTATGTACCTGACACTTCTACAATGTGACGGTGGTAAAGAATTCATGGGTGAAACTGCTCGATTAATGGAAGTGTATAATGTCACAATTTAAGTAATTGGTGCTTATAGTCATCGTAGATTAGCTCTTGTAGAACGATTTAATAAGACGTTAGCAGAGATGCTTTATAAAATCCAATATGCCATTGAATCAATATCTAAAAATCCTAAATTAATAAGAGAGTGGGTCAAGTATTTGCCAGAAGTAATAGATTATCTTAATAATTATCCGACACGTCTCATTTGAGCTCTAAGTTCATCAAAATAGGGTTTAGCTCCAGCAAAAGCTATTAAACTAAAACGAGTAGAATCTAGGCCATCTACAAAATATAAGCATCCTGTTGGAAAGGATGAAAAAAATAAGTTAAAAAAAGGGATAGTGTTCGTTACCTGCTTGCTAATGCAGAGTGGGAAGGGATATGGAAAATCAGAGACGTGTAATTGATCTAGTATTTTCGCCTTCTATTCATAAAATTCGCAAAATCGTGATAATGAAAAATGAACCGTTTTATATTATCTCGGGAGTGATGATGATGAATATTCTCTAAAGCGAGGATTTGTATTTGAAGAGCTCATGCATGTAGATCTAGAAAAACTTCAGTATCTGCCCCAGAGTATATTGGGAGAAAACACTCGTTTCAGATCTGTTAATTTTATCTGTGTTGTTAATAAAATGGCTAAAGCCGTCACATATGCTGAAAAGCGTGGCGGAAAATGTTTTGGTAAAACTGGCCAAATAAACAGAATGAATGTATATCTCTAGTCTTGTGAAAATGGAAAACATCAGTAGAAATATCCATATTCATTAATAGATACGAAATTTGAATGGTATCCCCTATGTCATCATATCTGTGAAAGAAGTTGTCGATATATTTTGAGGATCTACTGGGTAAAAAATTTCCACTATATGCATCAAAATTCTTGGGTGGATTGAGACTCGATGAATATAATAAAGAACTAAAATTGGCGTGGGAGTATAATGGAGTCCAGCATTTTTATCACAACAGTTTATATCACAAAAATCAAGATAATCTAGATAATCAAAGAAAGCGCGACCAAAAAAGCGGAAAATATGCAAAAAGCGAGATATAGATCTTATTGAAATACTGTATGATGCTGATTTATTTTCATACATAAAATGCAAATTGCAAAAGAAAGGTTATTTATCGCATAAAGAATAAATTCGCAAATATAAGTACTTATGTTGTATATTAAATTATTGCAAAGCAATGATGATGCAAAGCATCGAATCTCGTGCTCAAAACTTGAACAGTTTTATCTTGAGGGTACGACATTACTGATGTATCTATATCTGCATTAATAAATTTGTGTAATCTCCAGAAGCTTGATATTGAGGATTGCGAGAAAGTTAGCATAAATGAAATTATAACCTTACAAAATAAAAATTCTACTCTTGATATTGTTGGTTGGTATTCAGATACGAATAGTAAGTCGGGTATATCATTATAGTGGAGCTAGTATCTCTGACGCATAAAAATAATCCAGTATCTTTAAGTATTAAAAATCATTATTTTTCAGATATAATAATTAGTGACTTATCCGATTAGAATGAAAATAGAAAATCTCAATCCACTTGAAAAGCTTGTTCTAAATATAGACGAATACAAGAATCCAGAGAAATATAATAGCAAGAATTCAACTCCCCAATGGCCCTTCACATGCTTAATTTCAGGTTGGACTAATACAGGAAAATCTACTGAAGTTGTTCGTCTTTTGTCTGAGGATAAACTATATAAAATGTTTAATAATAAAAAAGGAGGTATTAAATATATTAAATGTAATGATATCGTACTTATTGGACACCATCTCAAAGAATCCAAATATATGTACCTTAAATCAGTATATCAAATAATTGCAAATAGTCCAGAACTATATCGTGAAGATATTATATTTCAGGCTATAAAGCCTGATAATATTCCAAAACTAGATTCATTCTTTTCAGAAAGAGGTACAGTGGTTATATTCAAGGATGTGTGCACTGAACCAAAGAAAATTCAAGAAAAGATTATACTTTATTTTACCGAAGGGCGTCACTCTAATATTAGTTCGATATATGTATCACAGAGTTACTTTGACTGTCCAAAGTTGATACGAAAAAATTTAAAATATGTTGTGTTATTTAATAGCTCTTATACTTCAGATGAACTAAGCAGAATACTTCGTTTATATGTTAATGACTGGCGTAGTATCTATAAAATTGTTAATAAGCATTTATGTGAACAGAAATTTATTGTTTTTGATTTAAGTGTATCTTCTGAGCATCCACACAGAGTACGAACTGGTTGGGATCAAGTGATTAATCTTTCTAATGAGAAGGCTCGAAAAGCTACTACTCTGCAATAAAGCGTGATCCACGATGATGAGATAATTATTTTTTCTGTTATTTATTGATGCATTAATATAAGTATATTCTACTTGCCATTTCTATTAAGAAGCTGTCCGTATCCAGCCGTGATTGAAATTGAGGTGGATGTGTAATAATAACAAGCGTGATCTATTATCAACACTAGGGACTTTTGTGTCAGATGAAAATGGGTTGATATATAAAAATCAAAGTAAAAAATGTTTGAAAGCACGTAAGTGCCATTATTTCATAATAAAAGATATGTGTCATTATCTATTGTTTGTAACACATTCTGCATTTACTTTTCTAGCTTTGGCGTGAGCTGGCATGAAGTGCTGAGTGATAAAGTCACGAGAAGATGGGATATATTAATCAGATAAATAAATTATGTGACTACATTATATAATTTATTAAATACTATGCTTCTATTTCTAAAAGTTGCTTTTGAAATCTAGTCTGCAATTGACTCTTTTTAGATTCTATCCAATTATATAAAATAATATATTCTTCATATTTTCTAACATAAATATCTACAGAAATATTTAAATTACACTGTTTATACATTGTAATCCATTTAGTATGCCATTGAACAAATTGTTCTCAAGTCTGAGGATTTCTTATTTTACGTTGAGTTAAACCTAAAAATTTCTTATTATCTGGAGTATTATCATTTGATAAACTTAACCAAGCAAGATATGCATTTGATGGTACTCTTTTTTTGAATCAGCGATAAGCAGTTTGTATGATTCGAGCATATCCATCTTAAGATTTTGGATTATTACATTCATGATTCCAATAATACTTCATCAAATCTGCAAGTTCAATCTTTTCGATATATCTGTAAATAGCAGAAGCATATACTTTCTTTAGTTTCATATCATTAACTTCAATTAATTTCCAGCAATCAAGTCTGTAGTAGTCGTGATTGACTAGCTTAGAATTTCCAAATCCACCATATAAACAGTATACGTGATATACGCTTTCTTTTTTCAGAGACTAGCTCTTGTAAAGGAACTCTGACCCGAATAACCCATTATTGTGGAGTTTCATTGTGTCAAATAACAGATAAAGTATCATATTGTCTTTCAATCTCAAAGAGTTTATTGAAGAATTATTGATAATCATTAATTCCACAATAATTGTAGATATATGACTCTATATATTTCATATCATATCCCAGTCTATTATTAATAAGTTTCCGTGATTTAGATTTTTATCAATAATAATAGGAATATTAAGACCTGACATATTTATCGCTTATAGAAAATAATATATCCTGTTCACTCACAAGTTTGTATCCAGATGTATATAACTAACTAATTTGTTTATTATATGTTATTCTGGCTTTGAGCAGTTACTGCGAAAAGGCAAGGTATTTGGTTCTCTATAGTATAAAAATGTATGATTCATTTTAAGTGCGGATTGGATTATTGCTTTGCAATAGTTTCTAAGAATTTATTTGTAACAATATTTATGTATAAATCGCTCGTGTACTATGTATATAGTATGATCTATTTTTGACATATTACATAATCTATTTCGGGATGTATTACAAGCATATAATAATTTCCTGATGTGATCCATCCAATCAGAATAATTAAAAAACCGTCAATGGTCAGAAAATTATTAACCAATCATACCACGTAGAAATTCATGAAATATGCATAATTGCGTAACTGTACTGATGATGATAATTGATTAACGGGAATATGCACCACTTACGAAATGCATCAAAATACTGTGTATCAGATTGCTAAATTAGTAGAGTTAGAGGTTTAATATGTGTCTTGTTACTAGCCTCGCTATTAATAGCTGGTTTTATTATCTTGATTAATGAAAATACAAAAGAACTAATACTATGGAATGTTAATATAAAGAATAACTGGTAGATCAGTAAATCGTATATTGTGATCGCTGTTAATTAATTAGTACGAAATCTGATCACCAGTAAAGAGCCAATGTCATGATCAGAAAGAATAAACTGAATATAATTCGTGTTAAGAGAATGTATACTCATGAGATGCACAAGAAACTAAGCTAATTCATCTTTGTTTTGTGAAATTAAGATATATTGATCACCTTTACTATGAGATATAGTTTTATGAGCTACAGATATAAAAACATGCATTTTCTTAGTGAACTGGTCCTAAGATATAGAGTAATTCTATATTGTAACTTTTTACAACGCGAAACCCACGTAATTTCAAACAAGCGCTATAATCCATAACCGTAAAAATCTCAATCATATCGGCTTTGTTATTATCCAATAAAATCAAATCATAAATCATACAAACCTATCAGAATGTTCTCGATTACTTTCAATTTTTTACTGTTTTCTGGCTTTATGCTGATACAAATGATATTTCTATATATTATAATCAGATACAATTCTGGGAACACTGAAAAACGATTTGACGAGAAAATGACTGTCTCACTCAAAAACAACAAAAAATTATCTCTGGTTTATCTGAAACCATAAAACATCTTGGTTATGACATTCGTGAAGTTCGAGATAGAGTTACGAGAAGTAGTAATGCAGGATCTGATACATCCAAAACGCCTCAAAAATATACTGGCACTATTTTCGAACTGTGGGAAGAAATTGATGCATTATTTAATGAGAAAAAGCATGTCAAAAGCGGTCTATAATAAGGCTATACCTAAGGTAGCTGAAGAAATCCGAACTCTTGTTATCAATCATAAGAGGGGGGTAGCAATCGGTGATGCCACCATTAGGAATTTTTATAAAAAATGACTAAAAATCTGAAAGAAGAGACATTGGACGCATTAAAGTTATAGGTATTGAAACAGAATGGGATGATACATCAGGAAAATTTTTCAGGTGATAAAAATCGATAAACTTCACTTTATCGATATTTATCACCTGAAAAATTTTGATAATTAACGAGTTAAGATAATTATCGATAAATATCTGCGATAATTAATATTATATAACTATATCGAAAATAGTCACAAAGTTAATTAACAAAATAGATTATTATCGTTAATTATCAACACTAATAATTATCAAAATTGATATTTATCGCAGATTATTTAAATGTTATTTATTATTTTATTATATGTTTTAAAAAATATATTTATTTACAAAATATTCGTTGTCACAGTCATGTCTCGGTATTATATGCATAGACATATCTACTGAGTCTAAGTAAATACACGTATAATGTTCACTTAGATACAATCTTAGACACTCGTACATTTCCTCTCCATCTATTACTTCTTCATACCATCGTAATAAAATAAGATTTATTGGTTCTTTATTTTTTTCCAGAAAAAACTCCAGTAATAAAAGAGCTTAAAAATATAAAATTAAATAACGTTATATAGTGAAAAAGAATTTAAAATAATTTATAAAGATTCAAAATACCTTTCTATACCACTCTGAATCTTCTGAAGAAACAGCAACGTCACTAAACCATTCCTTACCATGAAATTTCCCATTTGTTCGAATGATATCAGTCGATTCAACTGCTACGCTTAAATATATATTAAAATATCCAGACTCAGTATCATAAGATACTTCATTTTCTGCTAAAAACTCTTTAAAACCTTCATGTAAATTATCAAAACCTTCTTTGTACAGATGATTAATATTGTTATCATCATTTATTTTTAACCTTTCGTTATCAATTTCATTGATGCTAAAATTCCACAAAAGTTTTCTAAACCCACTAGATCTTCGTGTTTTAATGAATTTTTGTTTAGATGCCAAAAATTAACATTGAACCTAATTATATTAAAAATTAAAATTAATATTGATTGTGATAAAAATAGATAATATTATACGTACTGTATTTAGCATTTAAGAAACATAATTTTTTTATTTGTCATTCAATATAGATTTTTAACATTATCTTTATGTAAAGTTTCATAAGTTTCGGTCGACATGCCATTCATTGAACCGTATAATCGAATGGATGGGATTACATGATAACGAAGTACATGAAGTTTTGGTATTTTGCAATGACTTGAAAAGTACTCAGAAAACACAGTTACAAATTCTTGACAAAAATTATTTATTAAAATCTAATGAAAAAGTATAATGAAATGAATATCATCGATCATATTCAAAGATTTTTATTAAAAATTCAAATTGATTATATTTATCTTCAATTCTATCAAATCTGTTTCTGTAAACGTTTCCTGACGTAGTTTCATATACATCTTTAAATAATTATAAAAAATACTACATAATCTTTTACATAATATTCCTCCTTCTTTATAATTATCATATAAATTGTCTATAACGAAAATTAATACTTTCATTATATTTCGATAATCGTCAGCGGTGAATTTTGATACATTCTCTAATCCATTTTTTAAAATTGTTAACCCCAGATATCGTAGAATAGCACAAAGTCTGTAATCTATTTCCTTAACTGCTTTAACATTAACTTTTGAGTGTAAATAGCTACGAGTAAATTTTAAGAGGTATTTTGTAATCCCAAGGTCAAGCAAATGCATTTGATCATGAACAGTTGCTTCATAAATATTAAAATTGTTAAACTTCTAAAAAAAATTGAATTCAGCATGTATCAAAAATTCATATGCTTGATTTGTGTTAATAACCTCCTGCATCTTTTTTAGTGTTCGTAAAATAACATTGGATAACGTCATATTGTTGAGGTCTTCATTATTTATTAAACAAAAACTGCAAGGATGTTTAGAAGTTGATGAAAGATATGTCAAGGTAAATGTTCTGACCTCTGCCATATCAGCAAGGATGACTGATATCTTTGGTGTAAATGGATATATTTCATTATTTACAACAAAATGCATATCGGCTTGATTTAATATCGGTTTCAATAATATTTGAAGACATTGTTGAAAAACTAATCTTTGCAATTTTTGAAAATATTTAGAATTTCTCGTCGTACTATCCTTTACTTTTAACTTTGGCAAATAACCGATAAGTACTTTAGCCTGGGATTTATTTTGCAACCAACTTGGAATGTTACCTAGCGAAATATAAATTGGGTGTTCTGATGTTTTACTAAGATGATCGCACATGATTGCATCAGCATAGATAATAATTGATAGTAAATTATTGTCGATAGAAATGGTTTTTTCTGCGGTATACTACCAATCACTTTCAAATTGTTCACCATAAGTCTTAGTAGCCGAGGCATTATAATTTTAACGATACTTAAAGATAAATTCTTCATTAATATCAGATCGTAAAAGCAGAGTCTTAATTCCATTAATTATTGATTGATAATGAAGTTTATAATCAACACCTTGAAAATTGGTAATAGAAACTTCTTTAAATTTTATATAAGGGAACTCACTATTATCAAGGAATTTTTGTTCTTCTTTGGTGATTTTTGGCAATAAGTTTTTATCAATATTTTTGATTGAATTAAATAACTTAATTAATCTATCTTCACAAGAATTCGATAACTGATATTCCATGATAATTTCTATGAATTCACAATAAATGTCATTTGGCCATTCAGTGCTTGACAGATATGATTTGTCATTTATAACATCATCTAACGTGGTTTCACAATAATCTTTGAGATCAATAAGTAATGAGAATGTGAAATTAACATCAATTTCATCATCTGTTTCATGTTCAATATTAATCTTATCAAAATTTAAAGCTTCAGAAGATTCTGCAGTTTGGTTTGTTATCGATTCAGTTTCTTCTTCTAACATTATTAACTCAGTTTCTTCTTCTAATATTATCGATTCAGTTCTTTCATTCTATTTATTGTTTAATGAATATCAAATTAATTCTGTCTTATTATCAAATTAATCTTTATATGATAACAATCGATTAGCTTATTACCTCAGAATAATTCATTATAAAATCTTCATCCCAAAGGTTGGGTTCTTCATTTGGTATGATCGATTGGGTTTCTATTTTATCTTCATTTTCATTAATAATATATTGGTGTTTGGCAAAAATATGCCGTTTCAATGCATAAGGAGACGCAAAGGTACATTTACAACATTAACACTTGTAAGTCATTTCAATTTATTTAGCAATAAATCGAAAATTAAATGATCGTATTTAATTAAAATTTAGTGATAATAAAAATTATTTTAAAAAGAATTTGTTGTTTGTTGGCTATATATATATATTTAGTTTTAACGATTATTAATGATCCTGATATATTAAAAAATCGAATCAATTTTAAGGAAAAATCAGTGATGTAATAATATTGTAAGTAACAATTGATGTTTGATTGAAATTGATTAAAATACCTTTACTGATATATATTTCAAACTTTCAGTATAACGAATTTAAGTGCAAAATTATACTTTTACAATGATATAATTTAATATACTTTTAGTGATCAAATGAAAGGTATATAAATAAGGATAGCTGAAGATATTTTTCAAGCTTCTTTTTCCCACACTTTCTTCTTTTTCTTTTCTCAAAGCGTTATTAATTTTATTTTTTTTTTATTTTTATTATTATTATTATTTTTTGAGGAACAGATGCCGCCAAAATGAAAATACAATACTAGATCTAAAAATGTTAACGAAAAAACTCAACTCTCTGGTACTGAAGAACTTGCAGATAGTAATGAAAAAAAAGATAATGAAGTTTTGAAAAAAACTAACACAAAAAAATATAACAAAAAAATTAAATCAAATGTCATGTCTCTGGAAGGTAATATACTGTTCATTATCGTCACATAGCAAAATATACAATACAATATTGTCATTTTTAATAATAATCTACTATACTATGTCTACGTTAATAAATATTTCATTATCTTAGAGAAAATGCAGCAACTAGAGAAAAGTGTTGCCAAAACTATTGCTGAATATAGTAAAAAAATGAACACCGCTAAACAAGGAAAGTGTCAGTGATTTATTTAATACATTTTATGACGATAACTATCAACAAATTAAATCATCGCAATATACTATAATTTAAACAGACAGCGATGATCAAAGTGATATTACTATGCTGTCTACTCATAAAGAATCACCATCAAATCCTAATCAACAACTCAGTTAACGTTCGTGTTCAAGACCAATAACTCTAATCGTACAGATTAGAGGTTGGAACTGGTTAATTTTTAATCAGTTAATTAACTGATTAAAACAGTTAATATGTTAACCGGTTAAAGATTTTTTTTAACCGGTTAAAATAGATGAATTTAAATCTGGCTGAAATTCAATTTTCGGCCAGAATTAAGATTTTTATGATTGACAAAATATTGTTTAACTCTGGCCAAATTTATAATACTGACCAAAGTTAATTTTAACTAGTTAATTAACCGGTTAACAAATATTTTAACCAGTTATTAACTGGTTAAAGAATTTTCAGCTGGTTCCAACCTCTAGTATAGATTGATGACAAACAATGTGATTTTCAAAACCAACGACTCCAATCGTACTGATTGATGATGAGCAACATGATTCTTCTCATTCTCTAATCATTCTAAACCTTAATCAACAGTGTTCACACTACTCAAGACCAACGACTCCAATCGTCCTAAATGATGATGATGATAATTACTACTCAAGACCGACTACTCCTATTGTACCTGAAGTATGAACATTCAACATCAACAGATAAATAACATCAAGTACTACTAGTAGTGGTACTAAACATCATTAAGAAAAATGGGAAAGACAATTAGAGGAAGTGTTAATAAAATAAGGAA